TTCCAACACAAACCAGTCTGTGGTTCTGTGAGTTTTGCAGCCCTGTGCCTCCAGCTTCCTCTCCCAAAACCCATCTTGGGGTCCTCCAAAGCTTCCAGATGCTCAGCTCCTTTCTAAGGAGCATAAATAAGTGCTTCCCTGTCCACAAGTGACCCCCACAGCCACGCGTCCCAGGGAGCTGGGACACTGCAGTGCGGGGGCCAGAGCTGCTCTGCATGTGCTCACGGGCAGGGTATCTCCCAGCCAAAGAGTACTCAAGACATGAAGTATATTTATCTGCCATTTGCTTTCCATCCCCTGAGCCTGCCAGCCTGCAAACACACGTTCCCCTCGCCCTGGGATGTGTCAGATGTTGTGACTACAGCCTGCACCAGCTGCCTGACTTGCCCCTCCTCTTCACACAATAAGAGACGTTTCTTACGTACAAGAATCCAGGAAGTCTCCTGCAGGGAACACTGTGATTTACAGTGTAATGCCCCGAGCGGGGTATTTTCTACTGCTGAGAACAAGCAAATGCAGCTGTTGCTCAGCAGCTCTTACAGACAGGTACAAGTGGGATCCTCACTCCCTCATCCCCATGGGAATGCCCTTCTGACCATGACTGGGCCACTCTTTTGGGGAGAAGCCACTGCTTTCTGAGGGTGACCAGCAGCTGCCCGTCAGCAATAGTTTCCCAGTATAAGGCACCACGTGGAGACAAGTCTTGATTTCAGGGACAGGACAAGGCATGGAAACTTCCTAAGCTCTCCAGCCAGGATCAGCCACCAGAAGGCTGGGAACAGCCAGCCCACAGCAGGGCTTCTCAGTGCTCTTTCCATCCAAGGACCACCTAAACCCTTTGGAAGACACTCACAGCCCACTGTGTGCAGCTTCACTGCAAGGGTTTTAACTTGCAACCCACCAATTCAATTCAGCTAAGCTCTGATGCCTGCTTGTTACTGTCACGTTCGCTGGCAGCAAGAAGGTTGCACCCACATATATATATACAATTCTGGATTTCTGAAACAGTACCAGGCTCCATATTCAATTATCTCCTGGCCAACACCACCCTGTTGTCTACAGAGAGGGGAGATGACTGAGTTATCACACCGAGACGGCACTTTCCAAGGCACCAAGTATGGAAGAGAGGCTTGAAGACAACTAGAGAAGATAAATACATTCAGCCTGTCATCATAAGGAGGAAGGATCCAGGACAAGCCGTGGGAGGAAGAACTAGACAGTAGCTAAGGGAGTGGGAAGATAAGAATCAGACTTTTTGTACTGCCAAAGGCACCCTGGTATCAAGCGCCATCAGTGATAACAGTTTCTCAGTTCCCCCATCTGTAAGACAGGGTGACAACATTTCCCTCCATCACATTAAAACGGTGAAAAGCTCAAATATTACTGCCATGAAAGCGATGTCTCCATGGGATCTGTCTGCACACACACACTCAGGAAAGGTAATCGGAATTAAAAGACAAGGGAGGATTACTTCAAACTTCACAACCACCCTGTTAACAACCTGGGATTAAAGCAGTCACCACAGTTTTAAGTGAAAATGGCCCCACACAGGAGGTTGAATGCATGTTAATTAATCTCCTTGGAATAAAGAAAAAGGGAACTTGACTTAACACCTTCTGAGCCACCAGCTCCAGCAGCAGGAGACAGTGATGGACAAACCTTAAACGTGACAGGAGCTGTTCTAAATGCTGCCTGAACTGGAAAAAACATGTCCTGAAGCTTTTAAGATCCCAGTCAAACAAAAGGAGCAATCTTGGAAATGGAAACGAAGCAATGGGGGCGGGGAGGAGGAGAGGGTTGAGCACTTTGTATGTTGGATTTTGCCTACATGATTCATTCAGCAGTAGCTGCAGGGCTGGAAAAGAAGCCAGACTGCTGAGCCCGTGTTGTGCCGGAGCCACAGGGCTATTCCTGACAGTTGACTCGTTTCCTTCTCCTGTCAGCACCTTGCCAAAATAACAGCAAAGGGGAAGCAGCAGTGGGCAATCTCCCTCTTGTTGACTGCTGTGAGGAAAGGGTAACTCCTTGAATCATCCCATTCTTTCCTTAATTCCAGGTGAGTGAATCACTCCTGACTCAGAGCTCACGTGCCACGGCCCTGGCTCCCACTGAGGTCAGCTGTGCTGTTACCTTCCCCTTCGAGTTCAACCCAAGCTGCTGGTGGGGACACACAGACAAAACGCTGCCAGTGAAACACAGAGGGACAGCCAAGCACCTTCCAGGGCTTGCAAAGGTCAGGAGCAAGCACACGTGTTCATTCATGCTTTACATGCAGGCATGCACACTTGGTGTGGCAAGTAAGGGCACGGTGGTGTCAGATGATCCAGAGAACCCAGAGCCACCTCGAATGAGGACTGTGTGTTTGCAAGTGCTTGTCACCCAGTGGGACACTGGGCAGGGTTTTACCTCCCAGGAGTTCAGCATCCAGCATGCTGAGCTGCCAGCATTGCTGGGCTAGGGGAGCAGGAGACAGTTGCGCCACAAACTGCAACCATCTGAAAAGGAGGAGGGTGCTTTTGTTTAACTACTGGTGCAAACCAAAGATGAGGCCCACTCTGTTTTGGGAAAAAAAATAATAAGAAAAAATAAAATAAAACTCTTATGATGCTTCAAGTTTCCTGCTTATTAACCAGGCAATTTTCCAAGGAAAATGAATTTGCCTTGGTGGGAAAATATGAGCAGTTGTAAGTAATTCAGTGTTGGCACGTTCGTGTTTGGAAGCTTAAAACAGTGGGTTTTCATGTGTTCATAACAAAGCCAAAGGGAAAGGGCTGGAAGTAACTCAGAAATGGAAGATGAGAATTAAAAGAGTGTGAGGTATCTCTCATTTCAAAAGCAACCCAGAAAACAAAACCCCAACAAACAACTTTTAACTTCTTCTGAGCGAGCAGAAGCTCGCCATGGCTTTCCCTCACTTTGGATAGCTTCAGCGTGTAAAAAGACAACAAATTTCTGCAGGGAAGGACTCCACGTTCTTGTGCTTTTCTAGCACAAGTCCAGGGCCACACATTGTCCAAGGGACACAGCAGCAGATGTGCTTTTACAGGGTTGCAAGCCAGCACTTCAGTAAGGCAAACACAAGCACCCCCTGCCTTGGGGAAAAAGCCACTGTCCCCCTCTCCTAGCCCCTGGCTCTCACAGGCACAGGATGGGAGCAAGCAGGGAGGGCAGCTGGAGAACTACGGATGCAGTTGTCTCAACTCTTCCAGGGAGAGCCCTTTGGAAGTCCAAACTCACATACCTTCTGATTCACGTACCTGCCCGGCTGCTTTCCGACTGATTTAAGAGTGGGTTGATCGATAGCCCAGATGTGAGGGGGCTCCCAAAAATATGTGAGGAAGGGAGGCTGAACGTCGAACCTGCCAGGGAGAACACCTACATGGCGAAACAAGGAGGGAGAGACAGAGGAATGACTTCTCAAAAAGGCAAGAGGAAAATAACTTCATTATTCCATCTCCTCCTGACTCTTGATCCCGGCTTGCTCATGAGACAGTGTTAAAAATACCTCCTTGGATGTCTCGCTAGACAGTTGAAATCTTCCCAAGCCCTTCTCAGAGCCAAGAGGTCTGAATGAGCCATGTTAACACTGAAGCTGTAAAACTAGCTCTCTCCTCCCTCTAAAACACCTCCCACAGTGAGCTCCCCACAAAGGACAAGGCTCTGTCTCCTGGCACACACACAGCCCACCCAGCGGGGATGTGCCAGCCCTCCCACCAAGTGATCTGTGCTGCAGGGTGAAGACAGGGCTGGCACCGGTGGCAGGATCCACTGGGAAGCAGGGGATGAGCAGCACGGGACACAGCACATGGACAGCCAGGCCCCTGCTACTTGGGCACTGTTTGTGCTTCCTCTGACAGTTGATGGAAAGCAACGTGTCCTTTTAGGCTGCAACTCCTCCCCTCCCTGAAACAGGCTGTGGGCTGTGATGCCAAACTGCCTACATCCTTCCACCCGCTCCAAGGGAAGCTGCAGTTGGCACATGGAAGGAAGAGAAGCTGTTCCCAAGTGAAAAAAGCAGCTCCGATGCTCTTCCCAAGCTCCAACCCCTCTCCTGGTCCCCATGTTCTTACCTGCGTGGTGGACACTGAGGAGGAGGAAGCTGGGATGGTGCTGGCAAAGGGAGAGCGGTTGAGCTGTGGGAGAGACGACGTGCCCTGGTGTGCCAGGAGGCTGGAGGAGAGCGGGGTGCTGCACACAGCGCGGAGCACTCCACCCCCGTGGGAAATGGGGTCCTTGTTACTGGTGTAGATCCCTGCAAGGGGAGGGGATGGTCAGAGAGCCACGCTCCCCTCCATGGCCTGCAAGAGCTGGGTGTCTGCGGGGCTCGATGTCAGAGAGGGAGGGTGGCACCAATGCACGAGACACTCGAGCATCTCATGGCCTTGGCGTGCAGTGAAGGGTGATCACAGCCCACAGTCCCTCCATCAAAAGGCAGCACAAGCTTTTCCAGCCTTGCCCCTGCCCCCTGATACGCTCTGACAGAGAAATCACACCATGAAGTGACCCACCAAAGGCACAAGTCAATGGCAGGAGGGGGCAGTGGGCTCAGTCCCACTCTCTGCTGCCTGTGCTGGTCAAGAGACCACACTCCTGCTGAGCTGACCTGTCCCCTTGCACCATGCCCAGGGACCACAGTGGGGCACGACAGGTAAAATGAGGAAGAAAGGGCGAGGAGGGAGCTGCTGCTGAGGGATGGGACCTGTCTGACTTCCCCTTGGCTCAGGCATGCGGCAGGGGCCCGCAGCCAGGTCCTTCTGAGCCCTGCCAACATCTCTGCAGCAGCAGAACGGGAGAACAAGCAGGCAGGAGCGCAGGGCCCGGCAGCAGCCTCCCCTCTGAAACATCCCTTTGTTGTTCCAGGGGGAAGGCAAAAAAACATTGGCCCCAGGTTATGATTATGGAAGTTGCATCAATTCCTGCAGCTCCTCTCCTCTCTCAGACAACTGGGCCAGGGCTCCCAGGCACACACAACAAAACCAAACCTCCCCCCTTGCAATCTGACCTAAATTGGAACATCTGCAAACAACCCACAATAGACCAATGACAAGTTCTGCTGCCAGAACAGTGTCAAACCTCAGCCCTGAGCAGCAGGCTCCTCCTCTGCCTGCTGCCTTAACCCCTTCCTGCCCCCATTCCCTGCCAGGCCAGGGAAAGGAACTCAGGCTGGGAATGGCTGTATGCCTCCCAGAAGAGTTAATGGTGGTGTTCCAGTCTCCCAACCCTACGAGGATGTGGTAAGACCAGGATGGGAGGCTTTGCTTTTAGAAAGAGGGGTTAAACTTGAACCACTTATGAGAGTCCCTCATTTGGGGCCAGGCTGTGGTTGTTCTGGTTTGGCCTGTGAATATCCCTCTGTATTGCTTTGGGAATCAGAATCATAGAATAGTTAGGGTTGGACAGGACCTTAAGATCACCTAGTTCCAATCCCTGCCCATGGCAGGGACACCTCACACTAAACCATGTCACCCAAGACTCCATCCAACCTGGCCTTGAACAGTGCCAGGGATGGAGCATTCACAACTTCCTTGGGCAACCCATTCCAGTGCCTCACCCCCCTCACAGTAAAGAACTTCTTCCTTATATCCAACCTAAACCTCCCCTGTTTAAGTTTGAACCCATCACCCCTTGTCCTATCACTTACAGTCCCCAATGAAGGGTCCCTGCCCAGCATTTCAGCTCTTGCTAGTTGAGGTTCTCCAGCACTGGAGCAAAAAGGGTTTGAAATGCTCCCCAGCCCAGCTCCAACGACAGAGAAGCCGACCTAAGGTTGATCCCAGCATGAAGGTCAAGATGGAAACGGGAGAACCAGATGTGGATCTTTATCGCTCCAGGGCCTGAACTAAAGGGACTGGACTCGGTGCAGACAGGTCCAGACACCAGCTCAATGTGATGAGAAGGGAGGGAGGAGCCGTGCACACCTGGAGCCCCGAGGGGGAACATACCTGAACCCAGCAGCGG